CCCCCCCCCCCCCCAATCGAAAAGAGCTTCCTATGGCCCTGCAAACTCATGTCACAGAAGTGGTAAAGGATATGTGCCATACAGTAACTGAATGGTATCCTTTTGTAAAGTTTTTTGCGAGGGTGGGTATTTATTTTTTTAGTTGATATTGAGGTTGGATAAAAAATCCACATTCTATAAACAGAGACTCACTTGCAGCTCAGAATCTTGATATGAATATTGCTTCTCGTAATGCGTTGCTAGCCCCTGAGCTTCTTGTTGGTGGTGAAATGAGTTATCTAAATCATTCTTCAAAGTTTGTATTTCATCTTCGAGCTCTCGACAAGTGTGTCTCAACTCGACAACAGTCTGTTCCAAGTCTTCACAGTAGGTCTGACTTGCCTCCAAGGTTTCGTGTGGCTGAGGAGGGTTCTCAAAGCGAAAGAAACGGAGAACTGGCGCACTGGAAGACAAGAAGTTTGGTTGTACAGTCATCAATGTTACATTAGCATGTCTGTGACTATTACACCATGTTATTTCAGGTGACGAGTAGTTCTTGGTAACAGGTAAATCTCACCTTTGGGATATTTCATTATGGTTTAAAATATTCCTCACAAATTCATCCAAACCTTCCTGTCTCCTTTGAATGAATTCTAAGGAAATTGTCATAAATTAATTAAAATCACATTAACCCATTAAGCGCCAGCGCTCTCCCCTTGACGAGTAAAATTGTCTGGCGTTAGACAGAGTAAAATACTAAAGTAGGGTGCATCAGGGGGCAATGCGACTCGATGGGTCAACTAGACGCATGGTCTGAGATAGGCCAGTTAACCCATTAAGCGCGAGCGGTATCGGCCTTGACGAGTAAAATCGTCTAGCCTTAGACAGAGTAAAATACTAAAGTAGGGTGCATCAGGGTGCAATGCGACTCGATGGGTTAAACTCCCCCAACACACCCCTGAATGACAGTAGCGTGATTGTCTGATTGAGATAATGATTTGGAACTTTAAAATAATACTATAGTACAAATCTCAAAATTTTCCATTTTCCCCTACATCCCCCCCCCCCCTTGTAGCACCTGGCTCAGACCCCTGCTGCAGCTCACATGGCCCCATAGGTTTTCAGCCCCCCCCCAGAAGAGCAAAATCTGAAAATCCATCTATGAAATAATTCAACTCAAAAATTTCCATCAACACAGAATTTCAATACCAGATTTTGTGAACTTAACCTTTGCTAGTCACTCCAAACTTACTATCAGCTAACTATTAACAATAGCTTGGCATAGTGTCGCCTATGCCCAGGGCTACACACCACTGAATACAACCAACTGAGTATGATTTATTGATGTATGTCAATTAAATTGAAAGAACAAACCTCTATCAAAATTATCACCAAATACTCTTTTTGGTGGTAGAGTTAAGAGAAAATTGGGAAATAATTTCTTCAACTAAATAAAACATTAAAACAGAATATCATATATAAATATACAGTATGTACAGTATATCACAAAATATTATTAAGATTATTATTAAACAAAAAAAGAGCTACCAATACTCAGGGGTTTTTTCAGGACTTGGGTCCGTTTTTGCAAAGAAGATTGAGTTTAGCTGAACAGTTGGGGTGGCTGCACCCCCCCCCCCC